GGTCTATGTACAACATTTGGTAAACACCACATGGCAAGTATGTTATAATGGTAACTACTAATTTATTGATGAAGTGGGAGTTCTGGACATTGGGGGAAGAATCTGATCCACCTTATGACACACAAACAGTGAAATAGTCTCTAAATTTGCTGTAAGAAGTGAGCATAAAGATGGAAAGATTTACCTTACACATTTATAAACCCACATGTGGACCCTAGTCCATCTGCAAATAGGCCAAATTACCCATCGCCTAGCAGACATGGTTAGTTACCACAGTCTAACTTAGCAGATACGGTCTGAGTTAAGGTTGTTTTGGGGACTAACATAAAATGAAGTTCTTATTTATTCAAACTGGAACATAATCAAAATAAACCATTCAGTCTCAATGAGTTTTGAAAACAGTGAAGGGCTAACCTTTACATACCTACTTCTAATTTTTTTCTCTACTAAGAGAGGAATTTCACAACCAAAATAAACCTAACAGAACACTTAAAGGGGAAGGGGAGAAATTTTGCTATTATTATCTTCCTGCCAGTAAAGCACGCTGCAATAAACTCTGTCATAATTGCTGTAACAAAGCCATCTGCAAGTAACAGCTCATACTGCTTTTCTAATGGAGAGACAATAAATTCAGCAAAACAAAATTCTTGTGTACTTCATGTTTCATTTCATATCCTTGTTTATTTTTTGATACTTTATCAAACTTAGAGTAGGTGGTGACTCAGCTGGACAGTGAATGGGGAGGGGATGAAGGGCAATGTCCTCTGGCAGCTCGTCCACTGACCCCTAATGTGAGGCCCAGGGTGGGGAGTGCTGAGGGCCGCAAAAGGGCATCGATGGTGTGCCCATCAGTACACAAAGATGTGGGCACTAAGGTGCCGGTGGAGAAGAGGCCCAGGATGGCTGCAGGGCTGCTTACAGTGAGCAAGTAAGTAAACGTACTGAGGGTAAGGACAGTCAACACACATGTTCACGTTTGTATGCGGAATGCGTTTATGGCCTAAGTGTGTCTGTGGAGAGGGTGCAGAGCACTGAAAATCCAGGGGCAGTGAGCACAACGCGCACCCACGTCTTGGCTTCTAAACACTGCTCTCCACTGCAAGGAACCAGGGTCGCCTGGAGAAGCGGCAATTCCTTGTCGCAGCGTGGACTGTAAGATTACTTTATTGTCCCATAATGTTAGGAGAGCTAGAAGAATGCTAGGGACTCATCGAAAGGACACAGGCCCACCTCCAGGGGCTCCCACCAAACATCTGAGATGGTATGAACACCCTCGTAAGTGATGACAGTAACAGAATATAACCCATTAATAATAAACTAGCAGTCCAGAGTCCATGTTAATATAAATAAAGGAGTGAGCGAGTGCTCCACGCAGAGTGCTAACTAGCAGACTGCAGGCAGAGAACTAAGCGTGCGCTCTGGCTGGTCCCAATGCAAGCTCTCTCTCGGCCCCACATCCACACACAGCTGGGTGCTCTGGAGTCCCGCCCACAGTGCCAGCCTGCATGCCTTTGGGGAATGGGCCAGCCTAACAAGTCGGGTAGGACCAGAGGAAGGAGCACAAAGCCACGCCCCGCGGGTGAGAGGTGAACCAGGTGTCCAAGGATGTTGCGAGCATATCCCAAGGCTACAAATAATCTGCCGCGGAAAGTTAAGAAAAGAGGGAGAGAATTCAAGCTTTTAAATTTTTTGAAAATTCTTCGTTTCCTTAAGGCAAAAAGAATCTCTAAGCGCATTCATCACCAAGAAAGGTGTATTTTTAATGGCTGATATTCGAAGAATTTCCCATTACACCTGCTAAGTGTTCTCTACAAAGCAATCTTTGAGTTTGCTAAGCGTAACTCAAACCACAAAGCATGGTGATTCTGGATGAACATCTGGACCTGGCACAGAGTAAAAGACCAAGTGAACCTTGATGCTGAGTTGAACTATAAAGCTGGACACCAGACCTGCAGCATGGGGGCCCCACTAAGATGCCGCCCCCTCAGAGGCCTGACCAGGCAGCTGATCGGCACGCCTCTGACCGCAGGGATCATCCCTACATTGCCTAAGATACCCAGTCATCTTTTTCTCACAGTACCTGACACGTGGGTGGCCAAAACACGGGCTGAATAAGTGACTCCTGGAATTTCTGAGGCAGAAGTAGGAATTCCCCACTGCCAAGGGACTGTGGATTCACTCTGAGCAGTAAAAGGGAAAGGAAGTCCTTTCTGAAGGTGCTGAGCACGGAAAAGTTGTGACTCACCCAAGGCCACAAAGCTCGTTTTTGGTAGAGTTGGGATGTGAAACCAGACAGACACTGGGTGTGTGGTCAGAGGTAAACACAGGCTCTTGTACCTTAACTAAGACACGCTGTGTTAAAGCATTTGGACAGCTCTCCCATGGTCCCACTGACTTTAGACCACTGAAACACCTTCACCAGGAAGAGTCAACAGAATCACATTCCAGATTAATTAGTGGGACAGCGGAAAGGTTATGGAGCCACGCAGACCTGGGGTATAAACCACCTGCCTGGCTGTGAGATTTTATTTTAGGTCGTCACTGAGACTCAGTTTCCTACTCATAAAGTAAGGATAACAAGTCATACGCTAGGGGCTGCTGGGATTCTTAAATAGGAAAGAAAAGTATGAAATGTGAAACTTAGATCCCGGCATTTAGCAAGACATCAAGCAGACAGAGTTATTTTTTTCCCCCCAGTTCTAGTAGATATTTTCAGTCCTCATTTTGCTGGATATTCTAGCAGCTTTCCCATGGACTCCCGCCTCCAAAAATCTGCTGACCGTACACTTGAACTCATCTTCTACCTCTTTCTCAGTTAATCCATCTCTTCTCCTCTTTCACTCTTTAAAAAGCATTGCAATTCCTCAGGGATGGATCTGGTGCTAAATGAGTGGCTTTAATTACTATTTGCACTAGAATGGTTCAAGTTCTTAAGATCAGCCCAGACTTCTTGAGAGCTCCAAACCAATATAACCAACCACCTTTTAACATCTACCTTTGGATTATCTCATAGCTCTTTCAAAATCAAACTGTGCAAAACTGATTATCCTCCCTGTGCTGGCCTAAAATAAAAATCCAAGACTCTCCAGAGATCCTATCTCAGTGAAAAGCATCGTTAGGCCAGAAAACTAGTCTCTACCTTCCAGTCCTCATCTTTCTCTCATTCCCGCACATTCAAGCCAATCCTCTAACCTCAACAGTTTCTCTCCAATAATTTCACCCTCTCCATTTCCACTACTACCAATCTTAATCCAAGCCACCATAATCTGCTGCCTGGAAAATGGTTTTAAGTGGCTCTCTTCCTCCAAACCATCCCCCTTGCTGCTACTAGCACAACTTTTAAAGATGCAAATCTGAACGTGCCTTCCACAAAGTGGTGCGTTTTGACCCTGACTATCTCACCAACCCTATTTCTGTTTTTCTTTCCCAGGCTTTCTTTGGCTCCCTCGAGGCTTTCACAAAGTTCTGCTCTCCTGGGATTGCTTCCGGTCACTCAAATGCATCCCAGTTTATTTCCTCTAACCCTCTGGACCTCTTTTCAAACGCTACTTTGTGATCTGTGGTGAAAGGTTGCGGTTTTGGTATAGTAGCACCTTGTACTTCTCTCCCATCTTGTACTTACAACGATGATTAACCAAATAATTAGGTAACAGCTGTCTCAATATTGACCACTTTTGCTAGAAAGTAAACTCAAAGGATATAGGGATGGGCTGTGCCAACCAGTACTTAACACAGAGGAGCAAAAAGGGCACTCGCAATACAGAGATGACGTGTTTTACACTAAATGTAACCCAGTACTTAATTTCTTTTCGGCTTAATTTTCCAACTGCTCCCCCAAAACACATGATGAATAGTAAGGATTCCATCAAACTGAACTTCTACTACATTAAACTATATTAAAAGTCTATCACATGAAACTCACTTCCACAAGCTGAATCTAACAATAAACCAGTGAGAGGATTAGCGTAAATATACTAGTTTTAGAGATTAAAAATAAGGATTAAGTGGTGGAACTCACACACCTAATGTAAAAAAAAAATTCCTAGCATCCAATTCATTAGTTTTTTCCTACCCACTAGCTATCTCATGCAGGGCAATTTTTGGCCAAAACAAATATTTTCCAAAAATAAGACAGCTCAAAAACTGACGTAATCGTAGTTAAACGCGAGTTCTTTTCACGTGCGTGTGCGCTTGAGGAAGTCTCAAGGTCTGAAAAGAGATGTTAACCAAAAAAGGTGCTCTTCAGACCTTCATTCCGTGATGTCACCTCCCGGAGCGCTTTCACCTCTCATTTCACTTCCCCCGGGTGGTAACTGTCCCCTCGAGGCGTAAGGGCAAAAGGACAGACATCGCTGCCACATCTCCTCCTAACCGCCCGCAGGGTGGGTTGACCCCTTCCCACAACCGCAGCAAGCGACCGCCCCTCCGGTCCGAGGGCGCCTCTCCCTCTTTCCTAAGCCTCGCTCCACCCGCCCCCCGGATACCCCGGCCGCGGCTTCGGGGCCGACCACACCGCGGGTCTGCAAGCCCTCACGTCCGAGAAACCGAGCGGAGCGCCCCACTTACTCCACGAACGCCCGGGAGCAGAGGCACAGGATCGTCGCGGCCTCCTCCCGGTCTTCAAGGAAGAGGCACATTTCG